TAAAGCTACAATAACAAAGACAACATGGTATTACAAAAGGAGAAACCTGACCCTTAGAAGGGTATAGAAGATATTCAAACCTCATATAAAATTATACTAAAAAGGCCAACATTTATTAAATATAAATTATAATTTGATAAAAGAACAAAATGAACCTAAACTTTGAGTATATTTGTGCTCTATTTTGTTCCATCAATCTCTTGGTTTTTATGTGGGTACCACATTGTCTTGAATATGTAACTTGTGAGTCATGAAGTATAAATTTTAAAATTTTGTTCTTTCTCAAGCTTGCTTTGGCTATTCTAGAACCCTCACATTGCAATATAAACTTCAGAATCAAGTTATCAATTTCTTTTAAAAAATACAGTGGAGGTACCATTTGACCCAGCTATCCCACTCCTTGGTTTATACCCAAAGGATTTAAAATCAGCATACTATAGTGACGCAGCCACATCAATGTTTATAGCAGCTCAATTCAGGATAGCTAGACTATGGGATCAACCTAGGTGTCCCTCAATAAATGAATGGATAAAGAAAATGTGGTATATATACTCAAATGGAATATTACTCAGCTTTAAAGAAGAGTGAAATTATGGCATTTGCCAATAAATGGTTGGAGTTGGAGAACGTCATGTTGAGCAAAATAAGCCAATCCCAGAAAATCAAAGGCCGAATGTTTTCTCTAATACGCAGATGCTAATTCACAATAAGGCAGGAGGCACTAGGGAAGGATAGCATTACCTTAGATTAGGTAGAGGGAAGTGATGGGAGGGAAGGGGAGGGGATGTGGGGATAGGAAAGATAGTAGAATGAACCAGACATTATTACTGTATGTATATATGTGACTGCATGACCAATATGATTCTGCAACATGTACACTCAGAAAAATGAGAAATTATATCCCATCTACGTATGATAATCAAAGTCATAAATGCATTCTACTGTCATGGATAACTGATTAAAATAAATTAAAAAATTTTAAAAAAGAAATGCAGTGGAGGGCTGGGATTATGGCTCAGTGGCAGAGTGCTTGCCTCACAAGTATGAGGCACTGGGTTTGATCCCCAGCACCACATACAATAAATAAATAAAGGTATTGTGTCTATCTACAACTACAAAAGCATATTTTTAAAATACAGTGGAATTATGATTGGGATGGTGTTGAACCTTCAGATCATTTGGAGGAGAATTGGGATCAAATATTGAGGTAGTAATCCATGACCTTTGTAACTTGTTATATCCATGTATTTAATTTTTCGTCTTTTGGTACTGGGAATTGAACCCAGGGGCACTTAACCACTGAGCCACCTCCTTTTTTTTTTTTTTTAATTTTATTTAGAGACAGGATCTCACAGAGTTGTTTAATGTCTGAGCAACTTAGCCTCTCTAAGTTGCTGAGGCTGGCTTTGAATTCTTGATCCTTCTGTCTCAATCTCTGGAGCAGCTGAGATTACAGGTGAGCGGCACTGGGCTTGGCTACATATTTAATTTATTTATAGATTCTTTCATTTTTCTTGGTAGCACTTTTGTAGCTTTTAGTTAAAAGTTTTAGGTTTTTTGTCAAATTTATTCTCATACATTTTATTTTGGGGCACTATTATAAATAAAATTTTAAAATATTTTCTAATTATTTGCAGCTATATAATTTAAATACTATTGAGTTTTATATTTTGATCTTGGATTCTGTGGAATTTCTAAATTCATTGTCAGGTCTAGTTTCTTTGCTGAGATTTTCTTTTTTTTTCCCTTAATATTTATTTTTTAGTTGTATTCGGACACAATACCTTTATTTTGTTTATTTGTTTTTATGTGGTACTGAGGATCAGACCCAGGGCCTCTCATGTACTAGGTGAGCACTCTACCACAGAGCCACAACCCCAGCCCCCCTCTTTGCTGAGATTTTCAATGTAAGCAATTGTGTTATCTACAGGTAGAGTTTTACTCCTTTATTACTGCTCTTTAGGCCTTTTCGTTTGCTTTTCTTATACAACTGGCTAGAACCTCTAATACAATGTTAAATATCAGTGATAGAGTAGACATATTAGTCTTATTGTCAATTTTTTAGGGCCAGGGATTTTCATACATCTTTCACAGGGATTTAAAATTAGCATAACCATTTAGAAGTTAATTTATGTTATCTTGTAAATTTGAACACTCATAGCAATTGCACTCCTAGATATACGCACAAGAATGTTCGTAATAGAAATGAAGAGGGCCAGGGTTGTAGCTCAGGGGAAGAACACTTGTCTAGCATGTGTGAGGCACTAGGTTCGATTCTCAGCATATAAATAAATAAATACATATAAATAAATAAATAAATATCCATCAAGAATTAAAAACTATTTTTAAAAAACAGAAGTAAAGAAACAAGCAACTCAAATTTCTGTTAAGAGGAAAAGGAAAGTGAACAAATAAATTCACATAGTGGAATATCACATGAATATCCATCAATTTTGATGGATTGCGGTGACCCTCAACAACATGCATGAATTTTAAATAATATTGAGTGAAACATTCAAGGCCACATAAAGTTAAAACATTCAATAAAAATGATTTTCATAAAACTTAAAACCAAGCTGATCTAAGCAATATTCTCCATAGGCATATACATAGATGTGTTAAAAATTAAAAATAAAGGAAAGATAAGTACAGAAGTCAGGACAGTCATCACCTTTTGGTAAACAGGAGGCAGAGAGGGAAAGTTTGGAGTATGGAAGTAGATACAAGTTTTTGGTAACAGCTCTTGGGTGGAGAGGCAGATTCAAAGGAGTTAATTATGCTATTTGTGCTTTAAAACTTACATATACTCTTTTGTTTAAGTACAAAATATTTTAAGAGAATAATTAAAACACCAAACTAATCCTTAGCATGTTATACACAGTATTCTTGTTGTATTCTATTACAATGTCCTGGAGATGGTTCCAAATCAGAACAGATAGATCTATCTCATTCTTTCTAATTGGCAATTCATGGTCTAAATATATCATAATGAATTAATAAGTTCTCATAACAATGGATATTTGGTCTATTTCTAGTCAACAAATAATAGTATTATTAATAGTATTATTCATACATCTTGATACAGTATATCTACAAGATCAAATTTCTAGAAGTGGAATTATTAGGGCAAAAAATGTGAGAGTTAAAATTCTGAATAGATGAATAGCTTGTTTGTTCAATTTCAGACAATGACAGTTTAAGGCAATAGTAAGAAACCTAAAGGGGGTGTCCCGCAGATACTGTTGGCCAGAAGTACCCGAGTTCACCTATGAGTGTTGCTCTGGCACATGCAGAGTATTTGGAATAGAGTAGGTGTGGAAATGGAGTGAGGGTGACTATGTATTTACTATTTGAGAAAGCAAAGTGATGAAATGCCCCTAGCCCTGATGGGTGGCTGTTTCACAGTAAATTCATAGACTCAGTAGGACTCTTGCCTACTCCCTGAGGCTGAGTCAGGAGAGGTCTGGAAGGGAGACAGGGAAAGAACAGCTACTCCAACTTTGGGCCACTTCTATTGTTGGGGTGGCCCCTGAGGCATGGGAGCCAGCTTCCCACACACCACTGGCCCCAATAGGGCATAAACAGAAACAATCTTGAGATACCTTTTCCTGAGAAGGGCAAAGGACAGCAGGATGGGGCAGTCCTCAGAAACAGAAATCTTTGATTACCAATCATGAGTTCAAGGGGGTTCTCCATTGCTAGGCAAGTAAAGTTGTGTGCTATTGCGTCCTATCCTAAACAAATTGTGATGAACACACTCAGCCCTGTCCCTCAACACAACCCGCAGCCTTTACCCCACAAACTTTTTAATAACAAAGACAGTATTATTTATTCTTCAGAGTTCTCTTCCAGGGACCACAACTAGAGTGAGAGAATGAGGCACTGACCTTTGGTGCAAAATTTAAGAGCATGCCAAAAAATTCAGTTTCAAGACAAGTAATATTTTAATGTAGCATTTGAAGAATTCAAAAGTAATACAAAGAAAAATTCACAATGAACAAAATAGGCAAACTTCAAAATAAAAATGTGATCCAGCCTTGCACTTTCACAACCCTGCTTCATTATATACTGCCCTTGGTTCCACAAAAAGTGTCCAGTTCACCCTCATTTCAGTCATTTTAAGTGTACAATTCAGTATCATTAAGTAAGTAATTCAGACTGTGCAACGATATAATTCTTTTAACTATCACATTAAAATATTAACTGGGCGTGGTGGCGCACACCTGTAATCCCAGCTGTCAGGGAGGCTGAGGCAGGAGAATTACAAGTTCAAAGCCAGCTTCAGCAACTTAGCCAGGCCCTAAGCAACTCAGCGAGACTCTGACTCTAATAAAATATTTAAAGAGGGCTGGGGGGCTGGGGATATGGCTCAAGCGGTAGCGCGCTGGCCTGGTATGCGTGCAGCCCGGGTTCGATCCTCAGCACCACATACAAACAAAGATGTTGTGTCCGCCGAGAACTAAAAAATAAAAAAATAATAACAATAATAAATAAAAGATTTATATATTGTGATTACTGAGTTTCGGGGTGATGCCTACGATTTTACACCTAAGGCAAGCGTCCCACCCGCCTTACCCTAGACGCCCGCCCTGCTTCTCCCTCTTTGGCAACTCAAAGAGCCAGAGGATCCAATAGTGTCAATTTCTCCCTTGCAGCTGCAGCAGAAGAGTTACTTATTCCAGTGGCGATTAAGCCACAGAGGGTGTTCGACTGTCCGTCCGGACAGCCACCCGCTCCGCTCGCTTCGCCCGCCCTCCTCCTATGACCGGACACACCTGGCCGGCACGCCCTCTACCTGCTCAGGGCCACCTGGCGGGCAGCGCTCAACGCTTGGCCCGCCCCACTCGGGTCGCGCCGGGTCTTCCTGAGGGCCAATGGGGAGGGGGCCCGTCCGAGCTCCAGCTTCGTCCCGCGAAGCGGCCAATGGGAGCGCGGCATGCAAATGAGCAGGTGCGGTGGCGGCGGGCCCGTTGCGGCCGCTGGGCTCCCGGGATGTTAGAGGCGCGCTGGGCGGCCGCCGAGCAGACGCCCGGACTTCAAGCGGCGAGCTCCGGTCTCCAGCCATGGTCCCCGCTCCGCCCCCCGCCGCCTCCTTCTCACCCGCCGAGGTCCAGCGGCGCCTGGCGGCCGGTGCCTGCTGGGTCCGCCGCGGGGCCCGCCTCTACGACCTCACCGGCTTCGTGCGGCACCATCCTGGGGGCGAGCAGCTGCTGCGATCGCGGGCGGGTCAGGACATCAGCGCCGACTTGGACGGACCACCGCACAGACACTCGGACAACGCACGCCGCTGGCTGGAGCAGTTCTACGTGGGCGAGCTGCGAGGGGACCTGCAGGTACTGCCAGACTGGAGTCACACCCTTCTCTCCTCTCCCACCCCTCCCCCAGCTCTCCATTTGAGGGCGAGTCCAGAGCACCTGCCCTCTAGGAGGACGCAAGGTGACAGCCCCCGCCCTCCCCTCCCTCTGCTTTCCCTCTCTTCTCTCCAGGTAACAGGTCACTGCCCTCCTTCCTTTCACCAGGAGCTTGGTGTTCCTTCCCAGCCTTACCTACTTAACCCTCCTCCATCCTCAAATTCGTCCACCCCCCGAGTTACCTGATCCTTCCAACTTGTTCCAACTCTGACAACTTGGATCCCTGTTTCTGTCTCCAGCCCCAACAACTCCAGTCTTTCCTTCCTTTTCCCTTATCAGCCTCTCTGTCTTTGCAACTCCTCTAGTTTTTGTTTGAATTATAGGTTTCAAGGCTCATCTGTTCTCCCCTCCCATACCACCCCATTCCTGCTTCAAAGAGACACACATCCCAAGCTCTGCAAACTAACTTGCATTTCCTAGGGTGGAGGAAGGCTAGTCTTGCACCAGAGCTTCCCTGGGTGGGTGGAGAGGTCCCCACAGTATTTTGTGTGGACCGTGTCTTCCAACTCCTCAGAAGTCCCTTTATTTCTTATCCTGCATGATGGTGTGGGTGTGGAAGAGTGAAATGAAAGGCATCTGCCAGTTTTGCTGAGGAAAAGGGATTAGCACTTTGGATCCAGGCTGTGTTCTAAGCTGCACACTGCTGTATAATGAATGCGGGCTCATTGTGATATTTAAACCTTTAGTGGATCCGGGTAGGTTTGGTTATCCCCATTTTAGGATGTGGAAGCAGGCTCAGAGAGACTACTACATGTGTAAGGTCAAACATTTAGTTAGTGGAAAAGCCAAGTGCACCTGATTGCAAAACCAACCTTGTCTCCATCCTAAGGATTGGCAGGCAAGGCACACAATCCCTATCCACAGGGCTCCAGGTGGACTCAAGTCAGAAGTGAGCCGATTCCTTGTTCTCCAAGCCGGGTGGTAGGACTGGTGACACTGGGGCTATCATGCTTGTATATAAAACAACAGTTGTTCCCCACTGCTAGCTCTTGCTTTCATATCTTTGCCACTCACTATTCTGGGTAGCTCCTTTTGGGCCATCTTGCCTAATTCTTCAGCATTTATTCAGTAACTTACTTGGTTTCTTAATGGGTTAACAGCACTGTGCTAGGTACAGGTGGGTACCAATTAACAAAAAGAATATGGTTCCTGCCTTCATAGGATAAATCAGCTGGTGTGGGGGGGCATACTAATCACATGATAATTATTTAATTACATGGTGTTATCAAGTATAGATCTTGAGGGGAGGGATTCAGAGAAAGCTGTCTTGAGAAAGCAACATTTACGTGGAGAGCTAACTGATGGGTGAGGCTTAGCCAGGCAGGTGCTGGGAAGAACATTCCAGACAGAGGGAACAGCATGTGCAAAGGCTCTGAAGAGAAAGGGACAGAAATAAAACCTGCGTGACCAGAGACTGGTGGGCAAGGAGAAGGTTGTGGAAGGAGGCCAGGGATCAGCAGAGACCAGATCACATAGAGCCAATAAGTTGTGCTCAGAATTTGGGGTTTGACGATAGAAGTATTGGAAGTCAGGGAAGAGATTCAAGCAGGGGTGTGGGATGGTCAGATTTGCATCTCTGGATGAGTAACCTTACTGCAGTGCCAAGAATGAATGGAGGGAGCGCAAGGGTCTGTGAGGAGACCAGACAGAAAGCTACTGTATGACTTGTACTGCAGGGGCTGTGATGGGGGGGGGATGGGTACAAATTTGGGAGACTACCAAAGATAAAATGCCCGGATTTGGCATTCTGAAGTGGGAGCCCAATTTAATCTTGGAAGTTGATGCTTGGTGTCAGGTCCTGATGAAGGGGCAGAAGGTTTAGCCATAGATAGAAGAAAAACTGAGATCAGAATAGAATACTAGAGACTGCCAGGCTTGTGATGGCTCATGGGTCCTGACCTGCATTTGTAATGTGTCCTACAGACAGGAACCTTGAAGTGTAGCCTTTCCTCTTAGTACCTTTCTGAGTGTCACTCCTGGCCGGCTGCTCTGAATGACCCCCACCTGCCAACTGTGCCAACCACCCAGCACTGGGGTTTGGTTTTGTCTTGCTTTGCCTGACCCTCAGGAAGGACTCAGAGGGAATACTGAGTCCACATTTGCTTCCTACCCCTGTACTCACCCTGTGGCCATGTCTCAGGCATCCTTATTTCTGGGCCCCAACCTGAGAACGTGGAGAAAACTAAAAAGGTAACAGTGCACCAAAAACTCATGGCCCAAACTTGACCCACATGGCCACAGTCCTCCCATTCTCCAGAGCCTGTCAGTTTCTGTTGACAGAGTTCTGATCTAGAAACTAGCACAAAGAATAAGGTTCTCCTTAAATTTGGGGAGAGAAGTGGTCAGAGGAAAAATCTGGGATGGGGTATCCTTTTGGAGAAAAATCTAGATGGAGAGGAGACATTCGTGTTCTTCTCTCTAGCTAAGTTCTCCTAGCAACCCCCAGGCTGCCTTCACCATGTCCCTCATCTCCTTCTGGACCAGGGGTGCTGATACCTGTTGAGGTGAAAGTCCCACCTGCTCCTCTAGTGTGAGGAGCAAGAGGTAAGTGCCATGGACTAGCTCTGTTGTTTGGGGCTCATTTCTAAATGGTGCCCCTGTAGGGGTCCTTCTTCCTCAGCTTGGTCCTAGGACGGGAACATACTGGCTCCTCCAAGGAGAAGGCCCCTGCCTTGCTCATTTCCCCTGTTCCCCACTTTGCCCCACCCCCCTCTATGTACGCACTTACACACACATTCACACTCACATGAAGCCACATACATAAAACAAGTCAAACTTGTTTGAGCTAACATGCTATGAGGAGAATGAGACAAGTTCTGCTGTGGCCATGGCCTTGAACTTGGGGAAGCTGAGCTGCCCACTTTGAGCGAGTAAAGGGCCATGGCTGAGCTGGGAAATCTGGCCCTCTTGTCATCATCCCTGTCCTCTCAGGGGTCAGCAGGATCAAACTCCTCACACCAAGCAGTAAGAGCAGTGTTCTTCCAACTGTGGACATGAAGTCTATTTCTTGAGCTGCAACCAGCACTTTTTGAAAAAGAAATAGAACAACAAGATAGATACCATGTTTTCTAGATTTCAGTCATCCATGAATGGCTGTCACAGTTCTGTCCAAATTGGCATTTCACTTGAACTAATATATTTAATATTTATATTAACTCACTTTTAATTTTACCGTTTACTCACCATAGGTGATAAGACTAGTGAAGTTATAGACTTTATATACCTCTTAAAATAAATGTAAAACTATTAAAATAGAAATGCTTATCCTTGTGTTCCCTAAATTAGCTTGGGCTCCACCAGTGGAGTATATGTCACACTTTGGAAAACATGCAGAGCAGGACATCTTAATCCTTATGTTCTGTGGATCGTTTCTGGAATTGATGAGAGATATGAAATTATATGTGAGAAAACTGTGAATGTGCATTTTTATAGTAAACTTTCATTACAATCTCACCAGAGTTCTTTTCCAAGCCCAAACCTGCCACCACAAAGATAACTGTCAGAGAATGGCTCATACTTTCTATTTCTATTTTTAAAATAAATATAAAACTATTAAAATAGACCTCGAGAGGTCTTATCCAGAGGCCATCTGGATAAAAGTCCTCTCTTTGAGAATACAGTGGAGAAAGATTTCCCAGATACAACACTCCAGCCACAGGTATTGGGGTAACCTGATGTCTGAAGGTCTCTGGTCACCATGACCTAATCCCACAGTGTGTCTGTCTCTGAGTATCTGGGAACTCGGCAGATTCTACCATGTGTGGTTCTGCCAGGTTTGGGGATACCATTCAGAGCTTCAGGGCTTGAGTAATTAAATGGGGATGGACAATAGGGAGGAGATCTAAGTGCAGGAAAACCTGAGGTTCCCACCCTACCCCAGGTCCCAGAGCATCTCCAGCACAGCCCAACTTGGAAAGCTGGTCTGAGCTGAGAACTCAGATTAAAGCGGATGCTTGGGGGAACTTGCTAAACTGCCCCCACCTGTAGCATGGATGGTGATGAGATGTTGCCTAGTCCAAAGGGACTGAGATCCACTTGGCCTGCAAGAGGGCCTTCAATTGGACCCTGCCTGGTCAATCAGCAGTCACTGCCCTTCACTACCTGCCTGGGACCTCCGGGCTGTGGCCAGCTGCAGTATCAGCCAAGTCTTACCTAGAAGATAAAGCCAGGGTCCACTGACAGAGCATCAGGGGCCAAGTCACTGGCATTCCATGCCCACCCTGGAGTAAGCACGGATCCCAGGAGAGCTTCCTACTATCACCCCCAGAATTCAGCCAATAGCTTCAAGACCTAGAGTTGAAAGAGAAGGTGAGAAACTAGGTTTCTCTGGGGGAAAACAGAAAAAAAAAAAAAAAAGCAGAAATCCCAGAAACACAAGAGTAACCATCTTTGGAAAGACTCCCAGGAAGTAACCCAAACTGATGCCTGAGTAGCACCCATCATCCTCCCTTTCCTTCTTCTTTTTTCTTGTGTCACACACACTCGTCATTGGTCTATATGTAGTCTTCATTTATGTAGAAAGGTAAGAAGATCCCCAATCTCTCTAAACCCACCATGACACTGAAGCAGCCCTCACTAGGACCGCCAACACTTTCACTTCCCCAAACCTGGTAGTCAGTTCTCACCTCACTTTACCTGGCCTGGCAGTGATTCCTGACAAGCTGACCGTTGCCTCTGCTTGCTACTCCTTCCTTGCTTGGATTCTGGATGCCTTACTCTTTTGGTTTTCTGCATGAATCCATTTTCTATTGGTCCTATAATTATATACCACAAACCTAGTGACTTAAAGCAACACAGATTTATTCTCTTATAGTTCTGGAGGAGAGAAGTCAGAAATGAGCAGCAGAGCCATGTTCCTTCTAGAAGCTCTATTCTAGCCTCATCCACCATCTCAACTGCCAGTACTTCTTGACTCATGGCCC